AGACCAGCCAAAAGCTTTACTCGAATTAAAACGGCGAATTATGAAAGCATGGAAATCATTAGATTCAAAAATTTTAAGAAAGGCTGTACATCAAATGCCATTAAGAATGAAAGAAATTGTAAACAAAAAAGGAGGTAGAGTTACTAGATTTAAACAGCATTGTACATGTCGTTTATGCGTAGAATAAATATATGATTTTTTTATTGTACATTTATCTTTTCTACAGTTAGTTTTTGTTGTCAAAAGAAATAAAAATAAATATATACAAGATGAAAATAATTTGCTTCATATTCTGGTTATTTACATTATGGAACTGTTTTCTAAGAGCCAAAAACACATAACAAACTTTCTTAATCGTTCCTCGCTTACTCCTTGAGCTAGAGTCTTGATTTTTACACCAAAAGTACACTTTTACATGCTCTTTAAAATGACTATTTATTGATCGAAATTGCTCAAACAGTTGCAAAAATACATCGATAGAAAAAATGAAGCGAACTTTTTTCACATACCTTATTATTAAAAGCGATAACCTCATCGGATAATATGCCATTTAAACATTGTCTAAAGTACTAGAAGCTTATATAGATATAGTTGAGTACAGATCACTTCTTGTCTACATGTAAGCAAATTTTTTGTCGAATTCAAGAATTTATGTAACATCTTTTATAGGAATATCTTTCATGTATGTCTTATTTTATGTTGAAATAAAAAAATAAAATAAAAAAAAAATATATATATATATTCAAAGTTAGATATGTTATTTATTCTTTTCCATTCATTTCAATTTTAAGATATTCTAATTGAGAAAATAAATTAACAATGAATTGAACTTTATTCAATGAACAACATTCACCAAGATCTATATTTTTTATTTTAATTGTATTGGATACATCTTGAAAAACTTCAATTTATTCAATTAACTTTGAATTGAATTCACTTAGAGATATTAAATGCGATTTTAATGTACATAAGTTAGGTGCAAAACGTTATAATTCAAGAATTTCTTTAAAAGGAAAATTATAAGATTTGATAACGAATTTTGTAAGTTGTATTAATGAAATCATGCGATTCAAGCGTGGGTGTGGGCATCGGTATGGATGTTCCCTTTATTAATATATTCATACCCACACCCACACCCACACCCTTCTTAATGAACGTGGTTTCTTCACTTGTTTCGTTGTTAAACCAATATCTGTATGTGGTGAATAAGTTATATTATTAATGATTGATTGAACCATCAATAAACGAATTAACATGATATAGGTAGAACTCCATCTAATATAAAAATCATTCACTAGATGATTTATTTTTATTTTTTCTTCATTAGTTGGACCGTTTGTCGCATCCAAAGCCATTTGTTTACATTCGATTTCATTAAGAACAAGCGATGTTAAATTACTTGATTTATTAATCATTTTTATTAGTTTACGATTTTTTTTTAAGTAAAGAAGATATTTTATATTTTAATTCATCAGGATTTGATAATACTAATTGTAATTCTTGTTCTTTGTCTCCTTCTTGTGATTGATGATCTTGTTCAGATTGAGCATGTGTTGAAGCATCATCATCTTCGTCACTGCTATCTGAATAAGAATCACTTTCATTTTCATCGAATATCATTGGTACATAATCTTCATCATCTAAATCACTATTTTCATCATCATCGATCCATTCATCAGACGCTGCATCATAATCAATCAGACATATTCCTCCTAACTCATCGTCGGAATCGTTGCTTGATGCATTTGTTGCTGTTGTCATCGGAGTTTTTTTACTAAAAAACATAAGAAATACTCTATTTAATATTATTCTATTAAAAGAAAATACAAACGATTTACCTTTTTGATGTTGAAAGTTTCCATAAGCCTAAACCAGTTGATATTGTTCGATTGATATTGTGCACATCACAAGAAAATCTTCAACCAAATTCATAAGACAATGTTGCGGCCTTGGTGTCGCTACCGCCATCAGTAGTTATTGAAATTATTTTTGATTCGATGTTTAATTGTTTTATTTCATTAATTATAAATAGCTTCAGTCGTGCACTCAAGTATCGATCACGAAATCGTCGAAAAGAAATAATTTCAGAATACGTTGATGATGTTCATCAACGTAATGTGCAGTAATAACTAAAAAATGATGCGGACGGGAATTAATCCAAAGATTTGTAGTTAAAGATATATATGGAACATTTTTCAATTTTTCTTTTAATAAAGAACGTCGTTCTTGATACATTTATCAAGATGTTTACGGACAGTTTGTCGTGTTGGACCACGATAACCAGGTTGAATAGTTCCAAGAAAATGTTGCATACCAGCACGTCGGAAGGTCCCAAAAAATAAGCCATCTTTCACTATGCATTCGATGGCTGCTGCATCTAATTGTTGGTTCAAATGAGGTGAAATGGTTGACGTTCTTTCATGACATTCTTGTTGTTTTATTTGAGATGGAAACAAATAGTTATGTAAACCATGTTTGAAGCCAAGATAACTCCGTAGATTACTATCAGAAAATGGATCATATTTATATTCCTACATGAAAAGACAAATGTGGATAAATAAAAAAAATTGAAAAGAGTCATGAAAAAAACTAGTTGAACTCTTTTTTTGGTTTTCTGTAAGCATCGTGTTTACTGTTCCTTAAATGAAGCTAGCTCCGTTTCTTTAAAATATGCAGTATTCTAGAAAATAGAATTCTGCAGCAAAAGACGAGAAAAAAAGATTCTTACATATAAGCATATTGAACATTTAACTTTTCCATTATCATCAGTCCGTGTAAAATAATCTATTGGTCGTTTTTCTAATTTTTCTTTCCTATTTAAATTTCCAGCAATAATTGTATCAGCACTTGCGCTCGATATATTTAATAAATTTTCTTGTTGATCTTCATCTTGTTGAAGTGAACTTAAGTTGTAGAGATGACTATCATCATAATCCATTTAAGTTTGTATATCACTATCGATATTAACTTCTTTTTTTCTCTTCTTGATTGAGATGTACCTTTTGAAGATTTTCTACTGGTATAAGAAACATTTGTTTTCGAAATTCGTCCTTGAACACCTACCTGGTTGGTGTCGTGGACTAGATACATCCCTTGAAATAATTCTTGATGAACTTCTTTGGCTTGATAATGACATATTTTGTAGATTATTTGACAGTAAGGCTGAATTCATTAAAGATAATTGATCATTGGAGCTATCACCATTCATTTTTTTTCAAATGAGATACGATTAGTGTTTGAAATATATTTAATTACTTTTCGTACTGTTCACGAAAAAATGTATGTCATATAATGGTTAAAAAAGAAAAATATAACGATATTTTTTTATTTTGTTTTCTTTCATTAACGGATGTCCATGAATTTACACTCATTAAGTGTTCAGATTATTTTTTTCTCTCTCGTCTCTCTTCTCTATGTTCTCTTTATTTTTTTCCTTTCTTAACATAGACTTATACGTAGAAACGAATCAATTCAAGTCCTTCAAGTTTTTTCTTTCGAATAAGATAATCATCCCAATAAAATAAAATCAACCTCTATCATTCACGCATATCTATCTACATACAGGAGTAAATTTATAAACCGTGATAATGTAGAAAGGCTGCACTTAGAGAATGATTGTTTTTTAAATGTACACACAATGAATAATATAGAATCATTAACAGAGTATAAGCCCAGATATAAGTCTACGTGATTTTTTGATGAAGTGGTAATAATGTCTCGCTAGGATCTGTTTTGGAAGTAATAAGAACTTCTTTTATATAGCATGTTGATAAATACAGCAAGGATCTGAAGCTAACAATTAATCAACTTAAAGTCAATATTTTTCTACTACTTATGTGGGAAAATTATTCACTTAAATGATGAACTTGATGATTTAACTTAGATCATCATCGAGAAAAAGCAGTTGTATTGTTTAAATAAATTATATTAAATCGATTAGACACGGTGTACATGTGCACCAAAGATTAAAATTTCTTTCATGCCTAAAAATACAACCTAATTGAATTCATGCCTTTCTCAAAACAATGATGAGCTGAAAAGTATTACCAGCATAGACTAATTTCAATTTCTTTTCTCGTGATTCAATTAAGTTGAATTATTATTATAAGATTATAAGAAACAAAAGAAAATACGAACAATAGAATTGGCTTACAGTAACGCTTTTATCTTGTTATTCTATGCATTGCATTCTCAATCGATGAAAAAATTTGATTAGATATATTTCAAATTTACGTGCTCTGCTGTGATATCAGATATTTGTTTTTGTTCATAGAAAAAATTTTACCTTTATCTTTATTTTATCTTTCTTTTTTAAAGAATAAAGATAAAGTAACACCCCTAATCGTGACGAAAATCGTTGCAATATTTCGATGATGATATTGAAGAGCTCAACATGAAGTGGTGCACTTCACGTGGTATTGAGACAAATAAAAGGACAAGAACGACCACGAGAATTAACTTTGAGTATGCCAAAAAATAATACATGGAAAGAAAAAATGTAAACATTAAACATTGTTGAATTACTGGTTCATGCTCAACAATAACCGTTGTGCATCAGTGTCTGCTGAGAAACTGTAAAGCGATCTATCTGGAAAAATGATTATAGATATGAAATTTGGACATGAAAATTGTTAACACGGTTCATCTCAGTGCATTTTCTGAAGAAAAGTGTCCTCATTTGCCTTTCTGTACAAATATACTTGTGGATCTCTATCCATTATGGTACTGGAGCGATGCTCCTCGAAGATTGAAAGAACGATACATATATGGCTAACCAATTATGCCAAACATACGTTCGCCATGCTTTTGACACTCGTCCTCCATCGACTTGACGATATGGCCATGAATGATTTCATCGCCTGATTACTATTCTAAAGCCATAATTTGCATGGACCAGACGCGAACTGCTACGTTTTTTCTTTTCTGTCAATTCTTTGAGAGAAAAATGACCCAGGTTAACACGTGCATTCTTGTATGTATAAAAAACTTCTCTCAAGATTCATTGATGATGATTTTTATAGTCAAACTTTCATCGTTCTCTATGTTTTCCCCCCGCAGCCGCGTGCTACTGTCTCTCCTCCATTCTCCGAGAGAAAATATCGACGCATAACGAGAATCAAAAATATGCGTATAAATAGCAGATACATCCCCCTTTTCGTTACTTATATTCATTCATCCATCGAGAAAAAAAAACATATTTTACACAAAATGCAACTGATCGCAACTTCTGTTATTCTTCTATGTCTGACTATTACTGTGGTTAATATGCACATTTGTCAAAAGTTGGGAAGTGCTGCGAACTTTGCAGTGATTGGTGCCAGCACGGTTACAAACGCAGGCTTGACCGTCATCAACGGCAAAGTAGCCATCAGTCCAGGTATCTCCTTGACTGGTTTCAATCCATTTGGTGTGATCAACGGCGTCAAAGAACTGGGTACCACTGTCGCTAAAAAAGCGCAATCTGACGTCACTACGGCCTACAACTATTTACAAAGGGTAACACCCACTAAACAAATGACGGGTGTTGATATGGCTGGCAAGACACTCGGACCAGGTGTGTACAAGTTCAACTCGGTCGCTGCCATCAGTCAACCCGCAGGTGTTTTAACATTGAGCGGGGCAGGCATTTACATATTTCAGATTGGCAGCGCGCTTCTGACCTCTGGCGATAGTAAAATCAAAGCGATTAACGGCGCCAAAGCCAGTTGCATCTTCTGGCAGGTAGGCAGCAGCGCCACGCTTGGTCAAAATAGCGAGTTTGTCGGAAACATTCTCGCCTACGCATCTGTCGTGCTTGCAGCTAATGTTACCTATACGGGTTCCATTTACGCGCGAACAGCAGCCGTTATACTCACCGGTGATATCATCACGCGTCAAGCAAGATGCAACATATGCTAATTTTTTTCTGTCATGCTCAAACATCGACTCAGCAGTGATCTGCATCGAAACATTCAATATTTATTTTAGTAATGTTTCTCGTCTATCAATTTTGAAAATAAAGGACTTACTGGTAGTTAGATATGCCATATAAACGGTGTGTCCATTATCCATCCTTCTTGAATTTAGAAAGTTTATGGATGCTGGTCCGTAGAATCTGCATCGGTTAAGTTTTCCTGGGATGAAATAAGATCCAACTTACTCAATGAGAATGGGACTGAGCCTATAAAATACATTTGTTAAAGCAGCCGCTCTTGGTATATTTGAAAGTCAGAGTATATAGTGATCGAAATCTCATGGAGCAACAATTAACTGTTCCAGTCAAGATTGAAGAGAGAGTAACTTCCAAGAGAGTGTATGGCACGCCAAGGCTTACATCCATGATGAAAAAACTTTATATGTGATTCTTATTGAAGAAACGAGGAGCATGATGAAAAACTGATCAATCAAAAAGTTTTTGATATTTTCTCTTGGTCCATTCAATAATTCCAAGATACTCTCAAAATGAAAACTAATCGAATTCTTGTTCAGCCCTGTCAAATCATTCAATTGACGTTCGACGAAATAAATTTAATTTAAAAATAGACATACGCGATTATGTATTCTACTCCATTTGGCGGAAACCATAGGTCTCAAGCTGCTTCAGTTTTCAAGCTATTGAAGAGAATGTAATTCTTATTTTCAAATGGGTATCAAGTAACTGTTTGCTCTACAGTCATAGTTATTAGCATGAATTCAGCAGCTATTGATGCACATAGGTGCAATTGAAGAGCCCTCAAGGAAAAGCTGAGGCCGAACAAAATACACGGTGCAGAAGGAAAATACCAAAACAAGAGAAAGAAAACAGAGAGGGAACACGACTAATATCCAAATGATTTTAATAACCCAGATTCGAATTCTTTTCGCATCTTTTATGAACGATCAGCTTAATGTGCTATGCTAAGCTCCATTAGAAATTCCTTATACCAGGACCCTTTCAACGTCACGTTAAGAACACTGAATGAATGATAATCACCAGTGGGGTTACATGATAAAAAAACCTGGTGGTTTAATAAGAAGGGCGCAACTGGATTATTTTAGCATGCTGTGGTTGTCGAGCTGGGATTGGAGTAGGTTTTTTATTAAAACTTTCAAAAACTTTAACAATGAACAGGTATTTTACTGAACAAAGGGACCATTCATAGACTCCCTCTCCAAGCACTTACTTGTCTTCACAAGTTGCTCAAATTTCACTTTTTTGAAAACTTTTAAAACTATATTAAGACTCGGAATCCAAGTACTTGCATTTCCAAAAATAAACATTCTTTCCAGCAGTATTGTCTTTGTGAAATTTTTTGGTCCATGAAATTTTAAGAAAAACACCACACCACCATGAAATATGCGGAAAGCTAAATCTGATCCTGAACATCAAAAATTCATCGTAACACCAATTCATAAGTGACTGTGTTGCATGAAAGTCTAGTACTTTCTAAAAGTGTAGATACAAATATAATATGTGCTTAGGAAGTTTTACTAATGTTGATTATTTTTAGTTGATGCATATAAAGGGTGGACCACAAGTTCTGACTCGATTTGTATAATACATTTTTCTTTAGTAAAATACATAGTTGAAAATTTGTCTCTATGAAGAAAAGACACAGTAAAAGACGCTCTACAAAATGGCTTTTTATTGACTTTGTTAGCTGATATAGTATAAAAGTGATGAACTTAGAAATATGCTTCACAAAAAAAGAAAAATTAACCGTAAACTTAGTCTAAATTGTGATGATTCGAGTAAAAGACTGATAGCTTCATAAAAAACAAAAGGTTTCTCAATGGAGTTTGTTTTGTTTTGATTAGAAATGCTTGCTCTTCTCTACCTAGCTGGAAGATCAAGACTTTAATCACATGTTTCGTTTCTTGCTGGGTATACTCTCCGAAACAGGGTTGTCAGTTGTTAACGTATTTTTAAAAGCTGATTCTTGAGAAGTCTATCTGAGCTAAAAAAATTTTTTCGATAGACCACGAGAGAAAGCACATTTGAAAGTACCAAACATAAACTGAGTTCTCACTTTTGCTACGCTTTTGCACAGAAAGAGTAGAAGAAAAAGTTCAAATCGAAAAAAATGCCGAATTTACATAGGTTTGATTCTTTCTCGTCTCTCATATAATATACTTAGTGTCCTTCATTGAAGTTCTGAAATTGAAGTTTAGGTATAATTTTGTAGAGAATTTCATGGCGTTCCTATTTAAAACAGAATTTGTTCCAGGAAACGTAAGAAACAGAAGTTAAAGCACAAATACCAAGACCGGCTTCACAGTTAATTTTGCTTTTTTATGAGACATATTTCTAAGCTCATAACTTTCTTACTATATCGGCTAACCAAGTCAATGAAAAGCAATTTTGTAGAGCGTCTTCTACTGTATCTTTTCATCATAGAAACAAATTTTCAACTATGTATTTTACTAAAGAAAAATATATTATACAAATCGAGTCAGAACTTTTGGCCCACCCTTTACGGTTTTGTGCAGAAGTTTACGCTCTGTCACAGAAGCCTATTTGAAGCCTTATCAAAGTATATTTTGACAAACTTCACTATTCTGCAATTGGTAAAAATAGGGTATAATTGGCATGTGCTGAAAGGCATGAAATTGTTTCGAAAATCTATTGAATTGAACATTAGAAGATTCGCCGTAAAATTCTGCATCAGAAAATAAGCTTCTTATGAGAATCGATTCGTGACTCGATTCCTGTTCTTATGCCCTCACTTCCTTTAAAATCAATTTTATATAGATGTAATTCAACAATTTAATCGTGGTAGATGTTATAATGTGGTGAGGTGATAATGAGTTCGATTTGTGGTAATTGAATTTTATTTTTCGGGAAGTATCGATTTCATACATTATTGATGTGATCCCAAAGTGAATCACCCTTCAATTATTTTTATTCAAAATTTAGATTAGATAGCTGTAGTCATCAAAAGTTCAGACTAAACAAAACGAGAGGTGATACAACGCTTATTTATCGCAAGAGGATTCATTATATAATATTTAAATACTCAATATATGTCAGCAAATGATTGCAGGGTGTGGGTGTGGGTGTGGGTATTGGTATCAATCTTCTCCTCACACCCGCACCCATGCCCACCACACCCACACCATTATATAACAACTCGTAGTGTGACATCGTCAAACGGTTTTCATGCAACATGTTGTATGATTTCAATTATGTCCTAAATATTTATCCTTAAACTATATTAATTTCTAACGACAAGCGCAATCAAATAATAGCTAATGGACTTTGGACTAACAATATAAATGTGGTCAGTGCAACTGATGTTATCGGTAGAAGCAAATTGAGTTGAACATTTTCGATTATTCTAACTATGTCTCAGCCTTGATTTCGTTGTCAAGTAATTCGTTCGACTAGTCTCTTTTATTCAATTAAAGATTGGAACAGCCCGATGAATTTATGCTCTCTATCTTGTTTCTGAATCGGACATGTTTAGATTAAAATAAGTTCGATTCCTTTCGTCTACTTGTTAACATTTAAATCTTTTCTTGAGATGCTCCGATTTTGAAGAAGAATCAAGCCGAATCGACATTCATTGACAGTACTCGGGAAAAATTCGAAAAAATCAAAACGAGAATCGTGCGGGTATGGGTGGCTGGGTGAGAATAAAGGAAAGATCCATCCTCACACTCGTCCAACCACATTCCGCCCATTAGGACTACGTGATGATAAGCATAACAGATATCATCGGAACTGTTCTTCAATGAAGCTTCTTGATATTTCAAAATTAGATGCAACGTTGCAATATCAAGATTCAAATTAGTCATTTATTATTGTTTTATTTATAAATATTTTATAGACCAACTAAAAGAATGCACTACAATGAAATATATGACTGATAAGGTTTGGTGATTCAAGTGTGTTATGACTAAATGAAAACGAGCTATTATATACTTGATCATAGAAGTTTGTTTCGTATAATAATCTCTGAATGAAAGATCAATCTCAATGGGCATCTAGTCGAATGGAAGTAATTTTTTCGTCTGGATCATCGCCATTATATGAAACAACAACACGTTTCTTTCGTTCAGATTCAGACTCTCCAGCGACGAATTGTCTTGGTGGTACACAACCTGTTGCAAAGCGGCCTGTACAAACTAGATGAACTTCGCAGCCTAAAGAAAGAAAGGTACATGAATGTAAAATCACACTTTATGATTCAAGTATGATATAAGCCTTCTATTACCTTCACTTTCTAATTCTTGTTTCACATTACGAACATTTTGCCCAACATACTTCTGTAAATCTTCAGTAGTGAATGACATGATTTTTTTTAACTGCTGTTTTGTGTTACCTTTACGTATAGCGATGGTAAAAGAAATGAATAGACTGCTTATTTTTCTCCTTTAAATAGTGTATTTTCTTTTGCGTTCTCTACTTTATTTTTTGATCAGATAGCGACCTGGTTAAATAATGAAGAGCAGAAGAAAAAAATGCTCTTTATGACTCCATGCATCAGTGATTCCTATTTTGATACATGCATAGATAAAAGAGAAAGCAAAAAAATTGAAACATAAATCAAGAGTAAATAATTTTACATCGTATATACTTTTGCTGTAATATGCCGTGCATACTAGGGCTACCAGTAGTGAGGGAGAGAAAGCTGATTTTTTCTGTCGATAGTTGTGATTGAATATTGTTGATTGGTTGTAGCTGTGGGTGGAGATGTTGGTGTGAATGAAGACAACTTCTACATAAACACTCGCACCCACACCCTACATTCCTCTACAAGTTCATAGAAATCAATAATATTTCTGAGATCAATAGAAGAGAAGGATCCTTTTGTCAATTCTTTGTTGTCTACGCACGCTTTGGAATGAACATGTTTATCAATAAATGTTTGAATCGTAGCATTTTCTATGATATTTTTATTATTGACAGTGCGCATATATGTTAAAATATGTTCAAGTGAACCGGCTAACTGATGAAGAGAATCATTTTCCATATTATCAAGAAGACTTTTAAATTTTATTCGTTCGTTGTCATTGAATAATTTTTGTTCCAAACGTGAACGTATATCACTGATTAATGATATATTATCGTCATATAATTCAAATTGATAATTAAAAAAACGTATATTTTTTGTTTCAATGAATGGTAAACGACTTGCCTCAGTTCTGAATTCCCATTCGACTTCGTCATAATCATAAATAATGTCTTGACTCATTCCATATGTATAATTAATTGTGATTCCCTTATCAATTAATAATTTTCGTATTTCATGTGAGTCAAAACGAAATAAATGTTTTTCTTGTATGTCTTGTATTGGAATAGTGCGATAGTAATATTTGTCATGTTTATTTGTAGAATTAACAACATGAGAATGAAAATAGTCGACAATATCATTTTGCAAATTGCCAAGTGTTTGCAAACAAGCAACTGACAATCGACCTTCACCATAGTTTGATTTATTCAATAGAAATATCGATATGTTTGTTCTATTTGCAAAATTATGCTTCGGCAAAGAACGTTGAAATTCGTGTTTTTTATTATCAAAATTAACTTCGTTTAAATCAATTGCATACCAAGCATCTAGGAATTTATTATAGACTTCCTTTATATTAGGGTGATTCTCCAAAAGGTAAGAAATAGTTTTTGTCTTGGCATCTTGTCGCTTGATTTGATGATTAAAATTTTGTATTAAATAGTTAGTAAATTCAATGAGTGGATATAAGTACTGAATATTTTTATACTTAGAAAGATGTTCTAGTATGAATATGGTTAGTGGATATTTTTTATCGAAATCAGGAACTAAGCGAATGTGTCTATGAAAATGGTCAATAATATTAATCGAATGTATGCACGTAGAATGGAAAAAATTCAATAATGGATATTTTTTATTGTCTTCAACGAGTTCATCGACGAAATTTACCAACATTTGTTCTTTATTATTTCCATAAACAAAATCAGCATAAAGTATTTTGTATTCTCGAATATCACTGATAACAGAATTCGCGTGAACAAGAATTAATTTATCCTCAATTAATTTTTCTAATTGTTCAGCTTTTTCTGGACTATTCAGATAGTCTTAGATTATGAAATTTTCATTAATCATATGATTGATGATTTTATAAAGCCATATATAACATTCATTGACGTTAGACAAATGTTGAACGAGAGTGTTATAAAGTTTCTCGAAGCGTTGTTGAAAATAACTAGGACTTACTGATGACTAAGTCGGCATCAACTTAAATTCATTTAAAAATAGTAAGATAGCTTGCATGAAAAAATTCATAAAATGGCGCGTAAGTGGCTGTTTTAGATAATGACGATTTTCTGTTAAAAATTTTTCTTTGTAATCTTGAATATGCGAATTAATAAATTGCCAACATTCATTTGTATCAATCTGTATATGTGGTTTATTAGTCGTGAGTAAATCATCATCGTAAATTATATTAATTTCTGTTTTATACAATGGACATAACTTCTGCTCGTTAGGTACATGACAATTTATGAAATAGAATAGCCACAAGCAGTCCGATGAACATCGAAAGATTTCAATTTTAGGCTTATTTTGGTTATCCATTTTCTTTAAATTCTCGAGTTCAGTTCGGATCCTAAGCATTTGTATCAGAGTCGAATCGTTTGCGATATTCATATCGGACAACGTATCGAAATGTTTAAAGTGTTTTGCATAATCGTTTGGCATCTGATGATTTCCATCATACAGAATAAAGCCAAGCAGAGATATGTTTTTGATTGATTTGAATGAAATAAGTAAAGCTATAATATTTAAAACAAGCAAACGTTGATGAACATCTTTGGTCGGCATGCCTCGTTTTAATTGAAAATAAGAATCTTCATCGAAGTTTTTACACAAAGAAACAATCAGTTCCTAGCCAATCTGTCCGAAATGAGTTATTAATTCTGATTTAAAATCATTTTGAAATAATTCAACGAATTGATTCGTTGGTAATTCATTGTTTATATAAAAGTTTGAATAGTAATGGATAAGCCAAATAATAAAACAGTACGTTAATTCATGATTTGTAGAACATTCTTGTATTAATTTTTCTAGTTCATCTTTATCAATATTTGCTCCTATTTTACGATTAATATTGATAAATTTATCATGACATTCATATAGAGGCGTGGGTGGAATCATACGAGATTGAGCACTGGATGCTTGTTGATCAGATGACGATTGAAAAGATGAAAGAATCTTATCAGCTAATCTATTATTACATTTATATAAATCATATAGTGTAACTTGATGATAGTGGCACAGTTGTTTGATAATAAATAGTTTCATTGTGAGACAAAAGGCAGAAGTATTATGATTTAGAAAATCATTGATCTCATTTATTGTGTCATGATTAATATCAAGTTTCAAAGTATATGCATAATACTGAAGATAGTATTTTATCCATGCAATCAAAGTGATTAGTTTTAAATTGCTTTCATCTTCAATTTGATTGATATTTTCTTTAAAATCATTAAAAGTTTCCGAGAGCATTGAAAGAACTGCTCGACTATTTTCTTTAACAAATTGTGGCTCATATTTTTCATCGAGTAGAAGACGTATATTAATATATGTCGACATTAATATTTCAACTTTTCTTGTTGAATCATTTAACTGACATAAATATTGATCTATTTCTTTATATTCATCATCGTCTGGAATATTTCCCTTATAGGTTTGAGTCATTTTTGATAAACCAAGTCGTTTATCAATAACCATAAGCATTTTACCGGAATATTTCCATAGATTGTGACCAGTTTTACTCATAAATCTTAGGATATCACCAGATTCATTGGCATTTTCAATAAGCCAATTTCGTAGTAGTTCATTTTCTAATTTGTTTAATGTTTGATGTATGATTGTCTTGTCGACAGTTGATTGTTTTTTATCTATGATATCTTCTAGATATGCAATGAAAAGATGGATTTGATCGAGTGTTTTGAATGAAATACAAAAATTGTAATAGCGACTGATTTGTAAAAACACATTGAAAGCTTCGTTATTTGGAAATAAGATTGATATGCAACAAGCTAAACAATGGAATGAATGAAAATTTTCAAAATTTGTAATTTCATTTTTTTTTAGTTTAAACATGCTCTGTATGATAATACCGTAAGCAGTTATTAGTTGTTGAATATTTTTAATTCGATTNGAAGAAGTTCAATAAGATTCCTAAAACTTATTTCAATAAAAGGATCGCTTTGATTTATAAATTCAAACTTGTTTTCTAACGATGATTTCGGTGGAATTCCATACATTGTTTTTCCGTCTAAGATTATATAAAATAAATTAGTATTGTTTCGACTGATGTTTTCATGATTTTCATTGTAATTTTTAAATTGCTGACTTAAAATTTCAAACAATTTTTCTTCTTTATCAATCAGAGGTAAACCAATGTCGAATATTCGCATTATTTCACAGAGTTCTTCATAATGAATAAATACATGTGTTAATCGATCTTTTGGAGAGACGGATAATTTTGATATTAATTGTTGAATAAATGAAGATGATACTTGATGAATATTCATTTTATTCAAAATGATCGTAAGTTGATCGTGATAGTAATATTTGAATAGATCTGAATTTTGAAAGATCGTATCAATATATTGTCCATAGATACTTTTACTAATTAATTGTTTCCAAGCAAAGTTCATTCTATGATCGTCATCCATATATTGATTTTGTGCAATCGTTTGACGTATTTCACGAATAATCTCATATTCATATGTTGAACAAGGTAGATATAAATAAAAAATCAGAGAAATTTCAATGTTTTGTTGATTGATTAATGACACATCAATGGTTTTAATGGCTTCTGTCCAAGAATTAAGCCAAATCAAGAATAATTTATTGCGAATGTCTCCATTGAATTGAGTAAAAACGAGATAGGAATCTATCAGTGAATGCTTTTCGAGATGAGCAAGTATTAATGAAAGATAGTTCTCGAGATATAGCCAAACTGTTTGTTTTAATGCGTGATCAAACGAACGACATGAACCAATAATGATTTCGTTTCCTAATAAATCTTGTCGCCAATCATTGAACAGAGATTGATCAGTAGTATTTTCGATTAATAATAGTTGGTTTTTAATTAACGAACGCAACGATTGATGATCATTGTCATAGGTGACAGTTTGTAGAGTAAGTTCGTTAATTATTCGTTCACGACGTTCAATTATTTTGTCTTCGAAGTATTTACTAGTCTCTTGATAACGAAATTTACTGAGACATCGTTTAATGAGCTCATCAAACATGGTTTCCGAACTTAGAAACTTAAAATGATTGATAAGATCTTGATACGATGGATTGAAAAAAATATTCTTGGGAATTATTCTATGTTCTTGAAGATTGTCTATCATTATAGTTGACCACCAATTAAAAAAAACATCATCAGTAATTATATTTAACATATTACGTTGTAAATGAACTATGAGACATATGCCATGCTTTTTATCGGTCACATGTCTATTAAGTAAAATGTGTTTCAACATTGGTATATGTTTGTGCTCTTGATGATAATCAATACGAATAAATAATAAAAGAGAATCTTTCTTGCGATAATGCGTTTCAATTCTTTGTATCAATTCCAGTTCAGTTTTGAAATAACTCAATTTTACTTGTTCTAACCAAATATTATGATTCTTGATGTGACTATAATCAATGATTTGATATATTTGAGTATATGTATAAACGATTAACTTTGGGACGTCATCTGTCTCTAACTTTTGATTAATCAATGATGAAAAAGACATATCGGCATGAATTTCATAATAGCGTTCAATACAAGGATTTATATCTTTGGTAAGATTTGTTTGAGATGTCAATGATAAAATAAGTGGAAAATCAAATGAACTAGCACGAATCATATGATCTTGACAATATTTAATCACCTTTTGTGTATTTATGGCTTCTTGATCAATATCATAATCATTAGAAATCCCTAGACGATGATATGCATCAGCAACTAAATTGAAAATATAATCATTATTAAATTCGACAAGATGCTTATGACAAGGAAACTTTTGATTTGGCTTCTTTGATGAATATTCATTTACCCACTTCATTAAATTGGACACGGTAGTTTTCTGATGTTTAGGAATAAAAGTATCCAAGTTTATGGTATGTTTTTCAAAACGATTTAGAAATGGTGGATCATATTTATGAAGATCTTGCTTTTTGACAAATACTATGCAAAATAATCTATCATGAATCATGCAACGTGGATGAAAGAGAGAACCAAGTGCAATGCGACAATATTTTTTTCGCCCTGATACAGAAAAATTTTGATTAAATAGATCGTAAAGATTATCATATAAAGGACCTAATCCTCGTACGAATAATGTTACGTCCGTTTCTACATAAAGTATAATATCCATCATTATTCGAGTATTGTATTGTTCAGTATAGGTTTCATTTGAAAGAAAATCACCAGCAAGAGTACTACCGACCAAACTATGGGTTTGCATTAATGCATATTTTACATTAATGTATTGTTGGATATAATCGAAACTACTTTCATTATCACTAATCAACATAAGAAATCGGCCTGTACGAGACGAAATACTTTGATTAATTAAAACGTCTACTGTTGGACATGAATAATATTCTATCATATGATTATTTTGCATATGTTCACAAAATTTCCGCCACATAAACCTGCCACCATCAATAATGCTATCAAAATTAATCGCTAAAAGAAGATGGATAATGTCATATAGATTGTTGTGCCCATGTTGCTTTTCAGACATTGCACGTACAATACCTCCAATTAAAGAGTAATAGTCACGTAAACCGAAGAAATATTGATTTTTATGGTGTTTTACGTGGTTATGCATTTCCATATAAGCATAAGCAAGAGCTTCAATAATAGAATCATCTATTGGAATAATTTGACTGTTGTTCGATAGTTTTGATTGAGATAGCCTAATTGCAGTTGTTTTTAAATCTCGAAGTCAGGATCGGGACATGACAAATAAATGGCACGACTCATTTTTCCCGCATCTAAACGCCAATTCGATAAGCCAACAAATCCATATCGGCAATGTTCTATTTCAAGTTCATTATGTAAAACTTTTAATGGATTGTACGGAGACAATTCAGCAAGACCTATTTCGTCAAAAACAATGACCGGTAATAATTTTATTTCATTCTTTCCTGCAATGTATTGGTCGGCTCGTGCAAAAACTTGATTGACACTTTCTGAAGTGCAATTTTGTGAGCCTTGATAAGAAACATGAATTAATTCAGGAAAGTTTTGAAAAAATTCCTTATTTGATTGTTTTCCTTTCAAGCTGGTAATCAAAATTTGTACAGCTAATGTTTTGCTTGAACCTGGTTTGCCACATAGTATAATAGGAATTTGATTAAGAATACATACAAAAAGAACAAGAATATTATCTGTAAGAGCACGATTGTTCGCTGTCCCATCTGGAATTTCCATCAGTTCAACTAAAGCCATTTTTTCGTTTTGTATCAATGACTTTAAAGCAGTGATCGGTATATGCCGATTAAGGTACAGCAGAGATTGGTGAATAATTTTCATATAGCTGTCACGTTCTTCAAGTTTATTGAGACGAAAATAATAGCAGAGGAATAAAGCTAATAAACTAGCGCGTTCAACAGAATTGATTGAATAGTGATTATCTCACTGTCGATTTTTAGAGGGAATATAATACTTGTAAAACCAATTGTGAAAGCGACAAAAACACACTACATCGCGTAATGACACACTACTGACATCTTCGCGCTGACGAACAAATTTTTGGGAGTCAATGATTAAGTTCACTATGCACTGAGGCCAAGTAGGATGTTGTTTAAGACCTGCACATCTGTTTACTATTGTTTCAACATATTTTCTTTCGGTGATCTCATCAAGATAGCCGTAATCCCAAACATATTCAAGCATTGTTTCCGGAATAGACACCACAGAATAAAGTAGTGATGTATTTACAGCGTTGATTCGGCGTAAAAGCTCCGAATGATATTTCTTTATGCTAATATCATCTTCAGATTCATTCGTCCTTTTCTTAAGTCGCTGATGGTTGCAAGTGCCCAAGAAAACCATATTGGGTGTGGGTGTGGAGTGTGGGTGTGGGTGGGTGTGGGTGTGGGTGTGGGTGTTGTGGGTGCGTGGGTGTGTGTGGGTGTGTGGGTGTGAGTGGAGGTATGGGTGGGTACGGTTGCGCGTGTGGGTGGNCCCACCCCACACCCACACCCACACCCACACACCCACACACCCACACCCACACCCACACCCATACCCACACTCACACCCACACCCACAGCACCCACACCCACACCCACACCCCACACCCACCCCCGTATGTTACTAAGATATCTCCGTTATAAGTTCGTTCGTTGCGAGGGATGTGCTGTTGCAGTTTACTGACAACTGATGTCACTGAAGGATGGTACATTGAGCACTGGGTTACACTGCAGTGATGTCACTGACACTGGTACTAAACCGACACCGAAGATTACTGATACACTGTCGTTCACTGCAGCACTGACATTCACTGACCACTGATCACACCGAAATCGGTGTTCAGTGGAACACTGACATACTGGTGTTCCTTTTTGATGACTTTTATCTCTGTGTTTAATATTATGACATCTTCCGTTATTAAGAAATGAACTCCCTAAAATTTTTGGTTGAATAGCAACACATTCGCTTAATGCCTTTTCTTTTTCTTTTTCTTTTTCTATAACTGATTTTATTTAACATTATATTCTGTTAACAAATGAAAGAATTATCCTTGGGCTATCTTCCTCATATGACCTCGTATTTTTGTGGAACTCACATATATTTTCGAAGAAAAACTTATTAGCGCAGCTCCTTTGGAGCTGGAATGTGAAACTCACGTCTATCCTTCAACCTTGTTATCCTAATACATCATCTGTAAACTGAAAAATCTATTGTCGAATGTAGTTGTTTTCACTAATAATCGATAAAACGAGTGAGAATTTATTATTTATTTCTACGTTTAAAACAGAAAATGTCTTCTTCGTTTGAGAGCGCCCGATTTCATTTATAATTGTTGCTACACACTCGATAATAGTCATTTTTTTGCTTTTTTTTAATTTGAGATTATTGTTTTTTTTTACCATCGACTATTTCATAAATAAGACTATTACAATAATGCAGTTTATATGCATTAGCAGCTCTTACCACACTACTATATATCTCAACCAATCCATAAATGTTGATATTGCTTACTGTTCAAACTGATAAACCGATCAAATCATGCTTCTCATGTTGATTATATGAGTGTTATGATAGATCAATATATATTACCACTCTTCATCCATGATTTTTAAGATAGAAGTTCAAATTCTAAAAAAGTCAACGATTACACTCTTAAGAACTTGAACAACTATATAATAGTTTTTTTGAAACAATATGAAAGCATTGAAATATTGCATAGCAGTCAAGTTCATATTCTTCATACTGTTCAATTCGTTTTTATTGTTAAATAAANAAATAGAAGACTATGTGGGTCGACGATGATAAGTTTAGATGAAATTAGTGGAATGAAGCTAGAGTATGTTGCTAAGATGGCTCGGTTTTAAGTTCGCTCGTTGCTGATAGGCAGCATAGCTCACGCATCATGCAGTTGACGAGAGAAGGTCCTCAAGTATGAATCACCAATCAAGCTGATATTTTATCCAAAAGTAGGACTGGATGAGACTAGCAGAAGCCTAGAATGGTTCGTTTCGATGCCATCTCCTCCCCGAGTTACTACCATTTTACTGAATTTTTTAGCTATAGCAAGATACTTGTGAAGAGATCGATTTACGAAATTTCGATCTGAAATTTTCTTCATAGGTAGATCTCATGCTCATTAGAATGCCCTAAAAATTTCAGCCCAAAAGAAAATGTTCTTCTTGAGATATTGAGTATCCAAGACACTCCGCTTTCTCATCTTTTCGAGGTAAGTTCAGATTTACGAAAAAGGAACTTTCCGAAAATACCAAAACACCTCATATAGCATCTTCAGGAATTCATACGCAACAAGAGAAATTTCTTAGAAAACTCTGTAATTACTATTCTATTAGAAAGAAATTTCCGTGAAATTTTCGTAATTTCAAACACATGTCAATGCAACGTGCTGGAAATTTCGGAAATTACCACCATAAGATAAAAGAAATTTCTCGGAAACTTCAGTAATCACCCATACTATAGAACGGAATTACCAGATAATTTCCGTAAATACCGAATCCACCGATGAAAATTTATCAGCAATTAAGGAAGCTAAGAGCACATGCGCACGAAATTACCAGGAAATTTCTATAATTTCCTTTTTTTCGTCATACAGATATAATAACATAAATATAGATTTAAGGATCCCTACCATCAAGAAGTACAAGAATTTTTGGTAATTACGGAAATTTCTATAATTTATTTTTTTATCATATAGATATAGTAACACAGATATAGATTTAAGAATCCCTAGCCAGAAGAAGTAAAAGAATTTCTAGTAATTTCGGTAATTACCAAAATTTCCTAGCAATTACCGAAATTGCTAAAAATGATTATATTTCTTCGTAGCAGAGGTCCTGAAATGTATATGTATCTTACCATACCTATATCATATTATTTTAGAAATTATAGAAATTTCCTAGCAATTACCGAAACTTCCGAAGGAAGTTCTTCTGATATGTTAAGGCAAGTTGAAATTTTGTGTAATTTTCTTTGTGGTTTAATTGTAAATTGAGTAATTTCTCAGCAATTATTGAGTCAGAACTAATTTATACGGGAGATATCCTGGTAGTTTCGTCCGCATGTATCCGCATTTTCCGTAATTACCGATAAGTTCCCTGCTGTGAAGTTGGTATTTACCAAAACTATCTGATAGTTTCGTACTATAGTATGAGTAATTAGCGAAAATTCCAGAAAATTTCTTTTGTGATGTGAAGGTAATTTCCGAAATTACCAGGAAATTTCTTTATTTTCCTTATGGTTAGTTTTGAATAGGATTGCGGTAGGTATGAGGACCTCTAATATTCTCTAAAGCTTGCATTTTGTATGGTTGCAGTTTCCAAAATAAGAATATTTAGCAGAGAAATTTCCTTTATCCGAAATCTGCCCACTGCTGAGTTTCTTTATTCATAAGCGTTCTACCAAAAATGCAAGAAGTCAATTTCGCCAGAGATTTTAGATGTACCTTTAGAAGATAGACGCCTCTACGATAACGTGACCTTCTTATTGATTCAGAAACGTCTTAATCTGGTGATATATTAACTCAAACTTTCGAGTTCTTGCAACAACTCAATTCAAATTTAATTCAAATCACCTAAAGCAAATGGTCTTCTTTTTACCCACACACTGCATGTATCTGTAGAATGAACGTAAATTGATTACGTGCATTCACACTCCTTATATTGATAAAAGTTGTGGTTAAACTACTTATTTGTGAACATGAGAGACTTTCATTTATGCTGGTGAAAACGAGACAGTTTGCGTAGCAATCTGAGCTGTAGAAATCTCAGCTATCTGAAGATAGGTAGAGTTTTCAATTAAAAGTGAGCAGTATTCTTTTGTTCAATTTAAATTCGAAACGTCCATCTAATAAAACTTTCTCACCTAATCGATCAAGACATTTATTCCACAATAAAATAACTATCCAACTCGAAGTTTGCTGGAGAAATTTTTGAATTGACAATGTTATGTTTTAGATATGTCACAACGACAAAGAGAAGCTCCATCTCGCATCTTCTCAAATCTTTGGCTCGGCTCTTTGCACGATGCTGAAGATGTTAAATTTCTTTCCGCGAATGCAATTCGAAATATCATAAGCATCTGCTCACAACCAATCACGCAACGCGACAACTGTATTTATTACCGTTTTGAAGCTGAAGATAATGTCGAACCATCACCAACAGAAACGCAGTATTTCGTTGATCTCCTACACCAAGCCGTGCCTATTCTCGAGCAGTGCGCAGGAGAACCAACTCTAATTCATTGTGGGGTTGGACGTCAGCGGTCGGCAGCAGTCGTGGCGGCTTATTTAGCCAGAAAAAAGTTTTCGGGCAACGTTGAAGACGCCGTGTTTCACGTGATGAACAAACGGGCAACAGCTTTTCGTGTCGTTGATTCCGGAAACGTCAAGATAAAAGTCAACTGGCAAAATGCATTGGACGTGTTTTGTAAATCAAAAAGCAGCAATGATCAATAAAAAAAATCAAATATTTTTCTACATGGATAGGAGTTCAAATCGTTTTTCATTGATAAGAAGGTGATATGTGATTGATATTAATGAAACTTTTTTTTTGTTCGTTTGTCATTGATCAATTTTGACATGGCATTCATAGATGAAACTACAGGAAGAGTTGTTTGTGTAGAATCAGAAACACTTGGATCATGTCAGAGTGGCATAACATAATCGAGGAGATGATATTCAAGCCATAGAAAAAAGACATAAGGTGCGGGTAATTCAAAGCTACAGCACATCTCTTTTT